CGGGGTTTGGGGGTGGGATGGCAGGGGTAGGGGAACGGTTGGGCTTGATGATCTTAAAGGTCTTTCCCAACCCAAACGATTCTGTGATTCCCACGTGAATACAGTCCAGTCCTCAAAGCCAAGGGCTGTAACGACCATTGGTGGCTAACGCCATGCTAAAATAGCTGAATTGTAACGATTCAGTCCTGTATTACAGATTTCAAGGAATTCGGGAGTCATTCTTCGTTCGGAGAGTCCAAATCCAATGCGCGCTTTGATGCTCTGTGTTTTTAGCTTAAAAGATCTGACCTTACTGATGATCGTTGTTCCTTACTTTAAGGGACCTCATCCCGCAGAGCTTTTGGGTTCTTCCTGTGCCGTACACTCGTGGTTATTTTGCCTTTCCTCTTGCATTCGTTGCCACGTTGGTGCTTGGGTCCCTCCCTGAGGTGCCAAGCCGTGTCAGGGCTGGGTTGAATTCCAGCCTGCAGCACTGCAGTGCTGTTGCATCAGTGCAGGGCTTCTGGAATTCCTCCCCTCTCCTGGCCTCCTCCTGGAACGTGGAAAGCTTGAGCAGGTACCGGTAGCTCAGAAATGCAATATATTCTTGTTGCTGGTTCTCCAGCAAGAGCTTGGCACAAGGTGCAAGGCTGCAGAGGGTTTGTAGGCGGCTGGATTCAGATAAAGGAACTTCCTTGCAGCTCTTCTCTTTTGTAGGAGCGGGGGGAAGAGCGCGAGGTGCTCTCTGTAGGGAGAGTAAAATCCTGCCAGAGGGCTGTGCTCCTTTGCAGACGGAAGCTCTGCGAGGGCTCCTCAGCTGCTTCCCTTTGCTTTTCTTCTTATCACGGAGAAGTGCTCCTTCGAGTTGCATCTGATGCAAAGGCGACTGTGTCTAACCCGCGTATTATAGCTCTTTAACTTTCAGAAGTGGCTATTGTGCTTGATAAAAGTCTTTGAAATTTATTTCATTCTTAGGGCCTGAAATAATAGAAACCCTGATAATTGTTGGGCTTGTTCAGCCTGGGGAAGAGGAGGCTGCGGGGGGACCTGAGTGCGGCCGCTCAGGGCTTCAAGGGGGCCCCCAGGGAAGACGGGGACAATCTTTTGAGCAGGGCCGGCTGGGACAGGACACGGGGGGATGGTTTGAAACTGAGCCAGGGGAGGTTTAGGCTGGACCTAAGGAAGAAATTCTTTAGCGGGAGGGCGGTGAAACCCTGGCAGGGGTTGCCCAGAGAGGGGGTGGAGGCCCCATCCCTGGGAACATCCCAGGCCAGGTTGGACGGGGCTGTGAGCAACCTGGTCTCGGGGGGTCCCTTCCAACCCAAAACATTCTATGATTCTATGATTAATTATATATATGTAAAATGAAGGGGTGAGACCTCTGAAGGTCCCTTCCAACCCAAAACATTCTATGATTCTATGGTTCTATGAGATTTGATTTCCCTCAGTCGAGATGTAACGTGCGCCGCAGGAGCTGAGCCCAGCTTGGTCCTTCCTAGAGAAGCGTTGGGAGGGCTCCCTGGCACAGCTATTCCAAAGCATGCCGAAGTCATCAGGGAAACTTCTCCTTAACTGCTGTAATATCTGACAGGACACGAAGGAGCGGGGTTTTTTTATAAAAGCTCAACATATTCCATGCGCGTCGGCTACTGCACGCTCTCGTAAACCCAGCCCCAAGTTCCTCCTCCCTTGTGTTGTCTTGAGGGGGGGTGCTTTGCTAAATGCCTTTGGTGGCAGGGTAAGGCACGTGCTAACACCCAGCCCTTTTTAGGCAAGGCTGAACACCTTGTCCCGACCCAGGGAACAGAGCTGACTTGGAATTTTTATCTAATAATCAGTTTTTATTTAATAATCAGTTTTTATCTCATAACCAGTTTTTACCTAATACTCAGGTTTTATCTAATAATCAGTTTTTACCTAATACTCAGGTTTTATCTAATAATCAGTTTTTACCTAATACTCAGTTTTTATCTAATAATCAGTTTTTACCTAATACTCAGTTTGCTAGAGAGCAATGGCCGGTAGAATCATTTTTGCAGGAAAATCCTGGGTTTGAGAAAGTTGTTTTTCAGAGCGCTTTCTGTACTCCAGAGTTCGTGTTCAGGAGACGCCCGAATCGGGGCAGCCGCCGGCGTGGCTGTCGCAGACCCAGGCCCGTGCGCCGCTCCTGCTTGTGCTTGCAAAGCCTGGGTGATGGAGCGCGGCGGGCAGGGACGGGACAGGCACGTTCCCCCGGTGGCTTGGGTTGGGACTGAGAAGCAGTGGGTCTGCTTGCCTCGCTCGGGGAGGAGCCGAAGCCCCGGGTCGCTTTTGGATTTTCGGTGCTATTTGCTTTGCCTGTCGGGTTTTGCCGTGACTGACTTTGTTCTGCCTGTGCTGTTTGCTCCCCTGCAGAGCTGACCTGTCCGGGGTGCAACATCACTAAAGAAGCTGCTGCAGGATGAAAAGATGGCAGCACGGCTGCTCGCACCACCAGGCCCTGATAGTTTTAAACCCTTCACTCCGGAGTCTCTGGCCAACATTGAGAAACACATTGCAGAATTGAAAAAGAAGCAGCGTCCAAAGCAAGACAGCAGCCACCGGGATGACGATGAAGACAGCAAACCAAAACCAAACAGTGACCTTGAGGCGGGGAAGAATTTGCCTTTCATCTACGGGGACATCCCAAAAGGCCTGGTTGCTGTTCCGCTGGAGGACTTTGACCCTTATTATATGACCCAGAAAGTGAGTCTGCAAGAAAGAAGTCGCTAAACCGCCTTTTTCTTAGGAAATTGCAGGTTTGGGTATGGTTTAAGTAGAAGACAAAGAATGGAGTCTTTGGATGGGGCTTGTTCGCTTGGTTTGTTTTGTTATATATTTTTCTTTGAGGTTTAATAGAGATTATATGGTCAATCTTTAAGCGCCTGCTTGGATGGAGTTAGGAGAACAAGGTCTGGAAACTAAAAACAGATCAAGTTGTGGTAATGTGCCCATTCTAACCATGAGGACAATAAGAATTTAACCGAGGGGTAATGGTTTTAAGTGTGTAATTCATTACTTGCATGGAATTCATAACTTGGTCATTGTGAAGCAGTGGGATCTAGAATCATGACACAAAAAGAAGTGAGATAAACTAATTGACTCGCTTTCATCTTCCTCATTTTTATTTTAACAAATACTTGTCTGTGGAATTACGGTGATGTGGCAGGAGGCATTTATGGGTGCCGAGGTGTATTAAGAAATGAAGTGGTGTCCTGAGGGAAGCGGTGAGTAAGCAAGCGCTGTGCTGGAAATGGAGGGGAGGGATCTTCTGCTGGTGAAATAAGGAAGAGCACGATCACTGATTTTTCTTAGAAGGCTCGATGACTTAAAACCGAGGTTCTTTTCTGCTCTTTAATTCCGTTGCTCTCTTCGATAGCAATTTCATTTGGATGAGATAATTACCATCTATACCTCGGGCTTAGCTGCACCACTTGAGAAGCTGGAGGTTTGACCGCGTATGTGGCAACGGTTGTGATGTGACCGCTCGAAACTTGGGTAGGGTGGCTGTAAAATCAGTAAGTTGTCGTGGGTATCAGGATGCTTCATGACTTGGTGTTGGGGCAGACATCCCTTGCCACGCTCGGAAGTGATTCTGTGAGTGGCAGGGCATTATTCGCCTGAAATAACTGAATTTGCCGCTAACGTGGGCGATAACTGGTCACTCTTTTCTGCGTTTACGGTAGGGAATTTATCACTTGTTTGTGGTGTCGGTGGTGCTGGGAGTACAGGTACCGACTCAGACCAGGGCTCTGAAACACGGCGTACGTGGTGAACACCAGGCAGACTGGTGTTCGGGTGGACGTTGTACTTGGGAAACATCTTGGCAGCTGCTGTTGCTGGTAAGGAGGTGGCTTACCTTATCCCTCCGAAATATTTTCTCTTTATTAAACAAATATTTTTTCATTATTAAACAAACCCGGTGTTGCCTGGTTTTGGTGTGGCCAGGCTGTGAAAGAGAGACATGGAGCTGAAGAGCAGTTCCCAGGACCTCCAGCTGCATGTGGCTGCTTGCACCCAACTGAAGTAGAGGTTCTGAAACGTCGCTGCAGATCCCAGCAGGCGAGTTCTGCGCCCTCTTGGTGGTCATGAAGTTGGACAGGCGGTGTATGTGGGAGGACGGGGCCCTGTTCTTTCTAGCTAAAATAGGAGAGCAGCGCTGAAAGGGCAGTGGGCGCTGCCATGCCCTGGAGCATTGGGCAAAGGCTTCTTGCTTGTCTGGATGTTCCACCAGAAGTAGGAGGCAGAGGGGAACCCCGTTAGCCCTCACGCTTTATCAGTCTCCATAATTGCCTCCCAACGCAATGCTATTAATAAATCTTTCATTTTTAGGGAAAAATAAGCCTCATTCCCAGCTTTGAAGGCATCTGTCACGTCTCCAGAAGAGAGCCCCACATTTCTGCGCGTAGCCGCTTGCCGAGTTCTGCTCGCTCGCTGTGCCTGCCGTGCGGAGACGGGAGCTCTCCCCGGAGCTGGAGCAGCTGCAGATGGAGGGGAAGGTTCTGGAGATGGGAGACACAGCTCGCACAGCCCTGCCAACCTCGTACTTGCTGTTCTGTGAAAGGAGCCTTGCTCTTCCCGTAAACACTGGATTAACATTTTACTGGCTCTGTTTCTTTTGCATCCACTTCCGGATGGCGATGGCTTCGGTGCGCGCTACTGCTTTGCTGCTTCAAATAGTCAGTGACTTCCCACAAAGAAATTTTTTTTAAGGCCATTAAAAAAGGCCCTTCTCTGAATCATCGGGAATTGCGAATCTGCTTGAATCATGGGAAGTTTTCCAAGATTTTTTTTTTTTTTTCTTTTTTTTTTCCCCTCTCCAGCATTTGCCAGAAGGCTTTGCATCATAGGTCTTTTCTTTTCAAGCTAGATGTACAGCATGCATAGGAACAAATCAGCTGGTTGCTTTTCCTTGCAGTAGGACACAGTGATCTTGGTTTATCTATGGAAATTGAAACTGCGTTTTAACTGAGAACCTGAACTTTCCCGTGGCCTGTTAACTGATATTTAAAGGAGAAACAGCGTGACCTAGAAACAGAACCGTGGTACAGGGAGTCAGAATTCCTGGGTTCGGAGCCCAGCCCCGCAAGCGATGGTTTTGGCTGAGCTGCTTCTCTTTTCTCTGCTCAGTTTCATTTCGCAAAATGGGAGTAATGGCTCTGAGGAGAATCAGGAAAGTCCCTTTGCCCACAGGTAGCAAATTTTGGAAGTATTTTTGCTCCTTTTTGTCTTTATGTAAGTACCAGAGGGCATTTTTTCATGATCCTTTGTTTTGCAAATAGCAATCGCCTTCCAGTGCCTGGCTTGAAGCACACGGGTAGTACTTGCCCATGATATTTCTTGTGAAAACCCGAAACATTTCAGTTAAAGAAATCAAAAGGCAGGTACATGACCTTCCTTGTTTACCTGTGCAAACAAAATTCAGGAAAGCTACCTCTGTGGGCATCCCTGGCAAGGAAAGGAAAGCAGCCGATGGCCTCGTAGTCGAGTCTAGTGTTTGCTTAAGCAAGAGGTAGGGATCATCATCCTCCTATTTCCACAACCTTATGAGTATTTATTTTTTGAAATGTTTTTCCATCTTTTAGACCTCTCTTTCCTTCTCTTCCATTTATGGCCTGGGCTATCGCTCCTACTGAACAACTCCTCGCCCTGTTCTATCCCATTGAACGTGATTTTTGCCAGGCTGTGATCATTTTCCTCCGGTAACTTCCATTTTGCTCAGTATGAATCTCATTCTTGCTCCAGAACAAGGTCAAGGTGCTAATGTTCCTGCAACGGCTCCATTTACGAGGCAGTGGAAGGACCCTGAATAGTCTGGGAATTGCGACCGTGTGTAAGTTTAGGTGGATTGGTTTCAGTGGAGAAGTCAACCCTGCAGCTGTACAAGACTGCCGATAGATCCGTGAACATCTGAGTCTGGAGCAGGAGTGTCTGAGGTCACCTACAGCTTGCAGATGAGCACCTGAGGATCTTTCCAGTGCGTATGTGCCAATGGAGTGACTTGCAACTTCGTCAAGTCACATGTGCAGTTTGGAAATGGGCCCTCTGGTCCAGAATGTCACCTTGACTGCGTGGACCTGGGAAAATTACAGGGATGTGAGAGACCAGCATGCGGGAGGCACGCCTGGCCCTGGCATGTGCTCCAAGGAGCCTTGGATTGTGGCTTCTGTTTTAACGACTCCGTTAATGGGGTTTGCATTTCGGTGAAGGGACTGCCGCAGAGGGAAGAATCGGGACCATCTCAAAACCAGCCTTTTATCCTTCTATCCAAAAGCTAATTACCTTTTCCAGGTCTTGCATGTTTAATGTTATTTTTTCTTCCGCTCCATCTCTCCGGTAGGCTTAAAAGGAGCAGGAAAAGCCAGGGCGCCCTTCCCAGCTATCCTCCCTGCTGTCGTGGTAGAACGAAGGAGAGCATAACGCCTGCCAGGCGTCTTCTCCCATCCTTCCTGGCTGTTGGATGGCAGGCAAAGCGTAACGGGGTTGTTTGCGGTTGTATGGCTTTTCGTGAGACGACAGACCCCGGCACTGCTTGCATCCAGTCCCAGGCGTTGCCGTAGCAAGCGGAGCTTTCGTGCTGTGATCAGGGTATGCCGAGTGTGGCACAGACCGGGAGGCGAGAGAATCTCTGCTGCAGTCACCTAAATAGCTGCAACCCACTGGTGATGGGTGGAAGGAAGGAGAATCATTTCCGCTTCGGAGACAGCATGAATGTCCTTACATAGGCAGATTGCGGTGTCGTTAAAACCGAAAGCCAGATCGGTTTCTCAGTATCGCGTGTTGAACAATATTTATTTTTAAAAATACCTCTTTCAGGAACATTTTATTTGATAAATTCCAAAAAATGTCCAAGGGTGTTTCCTGTGTTGGGCTTGAAACAGGAGATTACAGCAAGAGCAAAACACGGCAGATAGTTTTTTCCCCGTAAGCTTTTCAGTGGTGAAGAGTGAGTTGCTAAGAAAGAATAAATTTGTCCCCTTTTTGGGGGAGGACGGAAAAATAAATACTAAATAATGCGTTTTCTGTATTAGGAAGTAACATCTCTGAGCCAAAACAGGCTTGAAAAGTATTTTGCATTGGCATTTAATTCTGTAGATACTGCTTCAGCCTACAGGGTGCCAGAGTTCCCTGTAAATTCATTTTGAAAATAGCGATGTTAAAGTAACTTGCTGAGGGTGTCGTCAGAAAGTCGCTGCTCTCTCTGGCTTAGCGCGGAGAGTAAGGCAATCGTCAGCTACCGCCGTAGGAATGCGGTTCCATATGTTCTTAGGCTCTTCGTAAAGCTGTTTTCTTCTTAAATCTTCTGCCCACTCCTCCTCGCTCTTCAGCCATTACAGAAATGCTTCATGTAAAACTGGCGTGAAGCAAGGGTATTTTAAATCTTCACATAACTGGAATGCCATTTGCCATCCCTTGGTTAGCTCTGCCGTGCTCTCCAGCATAGCTTCTTTAATGCACTGTTTTGCCAGCTGATTTAGAGAAGGTTTATCCTTTGCGATCTTTTTACATGAGACCCATTTCTACGGTTTCTGCAAAGCGTAGCTTCCCAGCCAACCTTAAGCAAACCAAAGGGGACAGAGCCTTTTTCACAGCTCCTTAACAACAAAGCGAGACTTTTGAAAGTTCAACCGGACTTCATCTCGTAGAAGATGACGACTGCAAAACGCCTTTCGCCAGGTACCGCCTTTCTCTTGAGTCTTGAGCTTTGCCTCAGCAGATCTTAAACAGGCTTAAGGATGTTCTTGGACCTGAACCAGCAAGCATTTTAAGAGCGTGCAGCCATTTTGAAATTGAGTTTTAATATGTCAGCAGCATCAAGAAAAACTAAGATAAGGTTTTAAATTGCCAGACAATTTTTGGCTTTGGGGCTCTTCTTTCTATTGACAAGGGCAAGCAGAGATTCACCCAGGATTTTAGAAGATACAGAAGGGAACTGGAGCAGTGGATCTTGGAATCATCAGGATCGGTGAGCAGGCTGGAATGTACCGCACCTTACCTGTGCTACGGTTGTAGTGAGAGGCCCAGTTTTGATGGGCTTTATAGGCAGGAGTAAGTTCAACCAGCCTTATGGTCTAGGAAGAGAAAGCTGGGCAGAGGACGGAAGAGAAAACAAGGAGCTGCCTTATGTAAAGTCATGTCATAGCTGAAGGGCTGAGCCGGCAGGCAGAACGTAGAGTTCATGTTTGGTAGGCGATTGCCCCGATTGTCGGATGAAACAGCTGATATTGCGGTGGGGAATGCCAAATTTTCTGGGTCGATCCTTGTGAAACAGCTACTGAAAATGTGTGTTTCCATGGGATCACTCCCGCGTGCCAAGGGGTGGTGGTTTGACCTTGGCTGGATGCCAGGTGCCACCAAGCCGCTCTATCACTCCCCTCTTCAGGCGGGGAGAGAATGAGATGGAAAGGAAAAAAAACCCCAAACTCGTAGGTCGAGATAAAGGCAGTTTAATAAAGAAAAAGCAAAAGCAAAGGCCGCATGCAGTAGCAAAAGGAAAGAAAACAAGATTTTATTCTCTGCTTCCCATTAGCAGGCGATGCCCAGCCATTTCCTGGGAAGTAGGGCTTCGGTACTCATAGTTGTTCCTCCCGAAGACGAAACGTCGCAAAAGACGCATGTCCCCCCACGGGTCCGCAATGGCTTGACAGGAACCTGATCTGGCGCAGGCTTCCCACGGGGTCACAGCCTCCTCCCTTCAGGCATCCACCCGCTCCGGCATGGGGTCCTCCATGGGCTACAGGTGGAGATCTGCTCCACCGT